TACCAGGAAAATTCAAGGGGCCGAGTAACACAGTGAAACAGCATAGCATTTGGCAGTTTTATTTTGGCCTTTACAATGTCCTGCCTCACATACGGATGTGACTATTTCACCAAAAAGTGATTTTATCCTGGGTTGTTATAAGCTTTCCAGGCAATTTCCCAAGAAAATATTTAACTGAGGGAAGGATATTATAAAATAGATTGGAACTTCCTATCCTAAAGGCAGCTGGGAAATGTACAATTCTAGCCAAAATGTTTTCTGGGAGAGATGTTTAAACAGAAATGTAAAATGGGTGTGAAAATTACTCTCTCCTTTCCCTCTTTCCTTACCGCTTCATTCTTAGAGATTTCTAGGAAGAGGAAAAGAAAATTTTACAATATGCTAATATATTTGTTTCCTGTCTTGCTATATTTGAACATATATAACAGGTTTCAATCCCTCCAGATGTTAATGTATTGACTTATTTTTTATTATGACAACAGAATTTTTTATATTTTTGAAGACTTATGCAAAATCCTGTTTGTGCTCATTAAATGCTGTGCATAAAAGAAAAAATTCATATATTCATATTAGATTCATTCGCTGATCTCTCTTAGTAAGTAGACCTTACAGAAATGTGATTTTCTCCTTTGATGAGGGAAGGACAGTCCCCCTCTTTCCAAGGCAGAGCCTGAGGCCAGGAAAATGGCATGTGAAAACCAGTCTTTGCGGCTGCCTCTGGCCCTAGACCAGGGATTCATAGCTACCTCACTCCTGAAATACTGTGCTTGGCAACTTAGAAACACTGCAAAACAGCTAGAGGAATTTGTTCAATAGATAACAGATTTTAATGCATTCATTTTCGTTTTAAATATATATTCACATTTACACATGCACACACACACACACACACACACACACACACACACACACACACACACTCTTCTTAGGTGAAGTTTCCCCAGAGGTATACATGAGACATGGATTTGGGGTGAATATTTATTAATATTTAGTTGGTGATCCCAGACAGCACTGGTATGAAATCAGCACCAAGCATGTTAATGAACAGGCTAATGCTGGGAAAACTAGAACTCAATACTGTTGGGGCAGGTATTGTAAATTCAGTTGTTCCATGAGAGGTGTGGAGAAGGCAAGGTATTTATCCACCAACTCTCAATTGCCCTTGGTTGAGGCCTCCTCCTCTGGGGGTCACTAAACCTCTGGCCCTTGCACCCTGCCCTGTGTCTGCCTGGCATGTTCTCCAATGCAGAGTTGCAGGCACTGCAATAAGATGCTACCCATGTGCCCTGGAGTGGTGAATGCCAGTGGCCACACCTGGATACTGAGAACACCTGGTACAGGTGCCTCTAGTGCTTTGGGGAAAGGAAGTTGAAATCGGAGTGAGGAGTAGCTGTGAGTTGTGAAGTCAGATAAATGCTCCAACAAAATGGGTCCTCCTTACCGCAATGGGAATTAGGTGTTCTAGTGAGAATTGGGTCTTTTGCCCTTTGCCCTTTAAATAAATAGACTATCCTTTTAATTTTAATTGTACAATCATTTACACAGCTCTCTAGGAGTCAAAAATCACTTTTAAATTCAGCTAAAATGAGAAGCACTTTCCTTTGTGGATATTCTTGTTCTCTCACTTTCCTGTTTTCTCCCATCCCTTAATGGCTAACACAATGCCCTGCACATGAAAGGGACACAGTAATTTCCTCTTTCTACAGATCCTCTCTTATTTCACAATGCTAACCTTCTAACTTCCAAACGTAGCGTGCGCTTCAGGTCTCCAGCTCTCCTCTGCCTCCCAGTATTTTATAGAATTAGGTCTGACTTCTAATTTCGTAAATTAGGCTTCAATGATTCCAAAGAAGTGGCCTGTCTTGGCCAATGTGAGGAGACAAGTGTCTTATTTCCTAATCCTCTTTCAACTCCAGTTTGTCACTTCTAGTTCTTACTTGTCTAACTGCAGCAAGTTGTCTGCCTCGTAAATCTTAATAAAGTCCCATCAGGTTTGACTGGTCCTAAGCATTCAGTTCCGCCCTGTCTCTGAGGGTGACTGGGATCCAGCTCCCATCCCCATCCTGTGACTCCTCTGCTACTCTTAGGGGAGCAGCTTTTGGCCAGTGTTGCCACCTCCATCCTCATCATTCACAGGGCTTCTGACTTGAGTACAGATACGAGCTTAAACAAAAAGGGTATATTCAGTACTGGTGAGATTTCTGTTTCCTCAAGTACTATGAAATGAAGCAGAGTCTTTCATTCTAAGAGAAATAGTAATCTTATTTTCATCTCATCTATGGAGCCAGACAAGGGTAATGGTTAATTCTTCTGTCTGTGTCTAAATTCCCTAGTGATTGAAAACTTAAACTTAGATCCTAAGATTTTGTTTTCCCACTATAGTAAATACTTTACAGTTAGTCTTCAGTCTGTGATAGAAAGAGTGGAAAACTGAAATAGGAGCCTGCAGTCCCAAATCCACAATTTTAGAATCTCCCCCAACCCCTTGGCTGGCTGGCTTGTGGCCGAATCAATGGCACCACAGCAAATAAACAACACCTAAAACGATTTATTGCTTAAGGGATGGGGGATTATCTGTTATGTTGTCACAGACATGCCTGGTGAAGGCTGAGTGTTTTGCCTGCCAGAGATGAGAACTCCTATTAATATAATGAATTGATAAAAAAAAAAAAAAAGAGAGTCCTGAAAAGTCACTGGACTGTTTGGGATGTCCTTGTGGGTTGTCAGCACTCATTGAGAGACCACAGACTATGTGTGAAAAGATTCTTTCTAATTCTAGGAATAATTAGTTATGTAAACATGAATAAGGGGTGTGTTTGTTGGTTTCCTATACTGTAAAATAGAAACAAACACTGCCCTATTCACCCAAAAAGAGCTTAAAGAAAATAAAATAATATAGGGGAAAGCTTTATTTTGTAATCACAAAGAGTGACAATTATTGAGATAGATTCTTAAGGAGGGGAGTAGATTTTAAGATCATTGCTTATTTCCACCATAGCAATATTTAATTCCTTCCTGATTCCTGCAAAGGTATAGACTTTTAATTTTCTGTAAGGTAGGGAAGAACTGATTCCTTTTCTCTATTAACTCTGCCCTGGAATTCCCAGCCTGTTGTTCTCACCCAAGATTAGCAGAATGTCAGGACCTGGCTTTGGCAGAAGTAAAATGTAGACTTTGCTCTTCAGTAGGCAGATGCTTAAGATTAGTTTATAGCTATGAAAGCTACCATGGTATTAAACATATCCTGAAATAGGAAATGCTTTTTTTTTGTCCCATTAAAAGTTGCATTTTATACATTGCCAATGCCACAATTGCCCCTAAGCTGTAAGACTAAGGTGGTTATTTGGTATAAGACTAAGGTGGTTAACCACTAAGGTGGTTACTGTAAGACTAAGGTGGTTATTTGGTTCTTACGAAACTGGAGGTATATTTTGCTTGCTTAAACAGCATAATAAGAACTCAAGTCTTAGACCCATGCTCTGGCACCCATTTTTCATTTATCATAGTTATGTCCTCTCTACTTCAGTCAAATAATATGTATTAACACATTAAGTGCTAACCATGTGCCTTACACTCTTAAGGATTCTGGGAAGCCTAAAATGGATTATTATGGATGTGTTCCTGATAAATAGGCAGGAATAATTCTCCTTTGGTGGCCTGAGATGTTTGACGAATTTGGGAGCATGACTATCCTTGTTCAGCTTCACCAGGGCTCAGTTTACCTTCTGTCACTGGTAGATTGTTTCTACAGCCCCTTGGTGAGGCCCAGAGAGGAGAGCATTCCTTCCTGAGATGCAGAGGCAGTGTCTCCCAGTATTATTCAATTCAGGTTTTCTTCATTTTTATTGTTCATGGATTGCTTGGGAAGTCTGATGAAACCAAAGAACTCTTCACATAATTATAAAATATATACAGTTACAAAAGAAAATAATTATATTGAAATAGACATTTGTGTTGAAAAATTCTAGGTCAAAACCCCCCCTGGGTAAAGAATCTTTCTTTTTTCATAAAGATATAATGGTGTCACACACACAAAAAGATTTATAATACTTATGTGGATCTTTACAGAGCCTTTCCTTGAAGAATTTGCAGAGTTTTATCAGAAACATTTGAACTGTGATAACATCTCAATAGAGACACAAAAATCCACCCAGCCCAAAGCTGCTATGGTGGAGGACCTCAGCTCTAGATTTCTCCCTTCCCTGCTGCTCTTTCCAATGGAGTGGGCCAAGGCTATCGGAATTCTCAATGACTTGACTGGACTGTTGAAGTGGATCCCAGGGGCTTAAAGCGGGACCTTAAGTGGCTGCTATAAGAGCAGGGAATGAGAGTTGCCAGAGGTGGTTGAGTATAAGACAAGAACAAACCTAGAAAGGCTATGGGGGAGGATGGAACAGAGACAAAGCTACAAGTAGTCCCAAGGAGTGACGTATGGGTCAATAGCAAAGGTGTGTGGGGGTGGGGTGAAAAATGCAGTCGAATCCAAGATTGAAGATTGGGTTAAGGGCTAATTTCTCATTTTGCTAGTTATGTCATGGCATAGCTTTCATATAATTTAAAGCATCTAAGTCAAGGGAGAATTAAATAAAACTTTTAGGTAATAGTGGTAATATTTGGCATCATAGTCCAGAAAACAGATATTTTATGTTTTCTACTTATTAATAAAAATTTCCATTTTTTTCAAGTAAACCCACCCTACTTATAAAAACCAAACTTAGAGTTGTTCCATAAATTTAGTTGGCCAGTTAGGATTGTGTATTTATTTATAGTTTTTTTCCTGACTACTTTAAAAATATTTTGAGGCAACAGATAAGAAGTTCTCATTCACATTATTGCTTAAGAGTGGCATTGATTCTGTGCTCTGATCGCCTAACTTCCCTCTTTAAACCATTCTGTCCTGATCAACACAGGTACCTCGTGGTTGCTATAGGAAACTCTCTAACCCGGGGTTGCTTTGTCATAATGCTTCTCAATCTGCAGTGTGCGGGTCCAAGAGAGTTTGTTAAAACACAGATTGCTGGACCCCACTCCCACAGTTTCTGATTCAGGAGATCTAGGGTGGGGTCTGATAATTTGTGCTTCTCACAAATTCCCAGGTGATGGAGGGAAGCAGTGCTGCTGGTCTGGGAAGCACACTTTGAGAACCCCCGCTGTTCCATAATGTTCTTTCTTCAAAGGAGGGTATGTACTCTATGATTTTCAACAATTTTACTGACCAAGATCAGTTAATTTCATACTTTAGGTCAGTCTTTTTTCGTATGGACACACAGCTTCTTACATAACTGTTGTTTTTGTAGCATGTCTTGTCCAGCATTTACCTAAGACATCACAGAAAAATCTTTTTCTGTTTTTCCTTTTCTCTCATTTTTCTTTGTGACTTTATTGCAAAGATTCTTCTCATTTTCTTCCTTTCTTTCTGTTTTATATATTTTGGGGGGGACGTGTAATTGAGATTACAAAAGGAAAAAGAAGAACCTGGCATGGTCTGATAAGCATGGCTACCTAACACATCTGATTAAGTAAATAACACAAGCTTTGAAATTTGCCAATTGCCATAATATCATCGTAAAGCCTTAGAAAGCATCCAATTATTTGTATCTCCACTGAAGTTTCCTCTGGCTTCCACATCTCCCTCTAATTAAAATCCTTTCATCCAAAAATAATACATAGAGTAGAAAAAGTTATTTTTGTTGTTATTAACTATATTTTGTTGGAAACACAGGATCTTATAAACATATAATGTGTTAAGATTTTGAGGAGCTATAAGCATAATTTCAATTCATATTTCTCTGTGGAATGGGTTCAGACTGCCAAAGAATACCAACTTATAAATGGACCTGTGGAAATTATCTATTTATAAGTTTAGGGCCCAAAATGCTCATACCAGGCTTTGACCATTCAGTTGCGCGCACCCGTAGAAATCACAGAGGAGAGCTGCTTAATAAAAAACACAAGTGGTAGAGAAGCAGGTCCGTGATACTTAAGATTTTTAGTTGCAACCAAATAGGTCCCTTCAGTGAGCTCTCCGTGGAGATGAAAGATGTGTGGAGATGGCCTGACGCCACCTTTGTCCATGGCTCCACAGCCAGAGGGATTTTATAGGCCAAGTGGAAAAATACCGGAGACTAATTTGTCAACAAAGGGTTTCTTTGAAGTTGGGCAGACAAATGGATTCAAAACAGTTGTATGTGTAAGTAACATTGGGCATGTTCCCCCCACCCCCTTCTTTCTAGAAACAGCCAGGACTTTTGACATGACAGAGCCGCAGGTGTGAAGCATTGATTTAGTAGAACCTCTGTGTGATCAACAAACTCTTAGATCTCTGGACCTCTGGGAAATAAGGAAAGCCTTTTGGTAAACTGAGGTGTTGATACTTCCTGAGTCTGTTTCAAGGCTTCTTCGATGAGGAAAGATGGAATGACGATTTTGCTCTATCTTCAGCCCTGAGATCCAGCTTCTGTAGCCCAAGGCAGGAGAAGACATTGGTTTATGGAAAATGGATGTTTAAGATCATGAAGGTATTGCTGACACACTTTTTCCCAAAGACACAAGCCCTTGAAGGAAACATGTGGGGTCAATACTCCGTTCCCTCTCTTATATCTGCCCTATGGGTCTTAGGATTCAGGGCTCAAACAGTTTTGGGTTGTTTTTCTCTGACTGGGAGTGAAATTTTTTAGAGACGAGACTTGAGACTTATGAAACTGGTGCTGGGCTGCCCCAGATTGCTCTGGCCAAGAGAGTTCACTTCATAGACTTCTGTCAGGTAACTAAGTCTTGATCTCCTGGGGCAGCTGCTGCACTGAGCCTAACAAAGGACGCCAATCATGCTGTAATCAATAGAATTCAAATTTAAATTACCCAGCATTATGCCTGCTTGCCATTCAAAACCAAACTCATCAGTGGCAGAGATCTCATCATCTTATCAGAAAAACTCTCTTAGACTCTATTAGACTCATTACACTTGTGTACTTAATTTCCACCAATACCCAATGTGAATCGTCTTCAAATCAGTTTGTTTATGATAATCAGGCAGTCCAAAATGACCTCCAAAATCCTGGACAAGCATGAAAACATGAGAAGCATGGCAAAGCCTCGTACCAGGAGCAAGAGATTTTCCTGCTTCAGTCCCCTTTGGCCTTCTCCCTTCTTTGCCTTCAAGGCGGGATTTCTATCATTTTCTTGGTATTTTGGTCACTGTGCCCTTTCTCTGCCACGCAGCTCCAACATCCTGACATTAACACCAATGTCTCTGTGTCTAGGAGGCAGTAAGTGCCTCTGTATTTATCATGGTAGGAAAAAATCAGCATATGCAAAAAACAGCTGCTGCCTTTGGGTCTCCAGCACCCAAGAGCAAAAATAAGTCCAACAAACCTAATATATTTTCCAGTGCATGTCCCAGAAGTTTGAAAAGAACTCCTTAAATTGCTTTTGTTTCCATTTTTATGGCCCCAGGAGGGGAAATACCTATCAAATTTAGTATATGCATTTTACTTTGTGCCACTTTGAGATTCAACCATATCATCTGTAATGAAAACAGAACAACCTTTAAGATAATTTAAAAAAAAGACAAAACAATCCTTTCTACCAGAGACATGGTCTGAACCAGTGCCAAAGATTTCAAGCTGGTGAACCAGCAAAGGAGTCAGATAAATCACAATGAGTGTAACAGATCTGATCTATTTCAGCTCAGATTAACCTCTTTACTATGTCTTCAATAGCCAGAAAGCCCGGGTTGCAGGAATGAAAATGTCTAATAAAGCAGAACCTCGGGGGGAAAAAAAAATTAAAAGAAGTGAGTTGCATAAAGGAAAGTGAGATGTGTGACCGTTTGCTATACAAGGCCAGGCTATGGTAGGGATTGAGAGAGGGAGGGAAACATTCTTTATCATGCCAATTCAAAAGGCAGATTTATTTCACTTGTATACAATAATTCCAGATCCCAGTGACAATTTTCATTAGTTGGCAACAGCTGCTTATAGGTCAGGTAACAATAGCATTGAATAACCTCATAATGAACAACTGTGGATTTCACATTGGTGTTAATTGCATTTCATGCTCTTCCAAAGCCTAAAGCAGGCTGTGTGAAAAACACAGAACCAGGTTCTGCTTTTCTGATTTTTTTGCCCCTAGAAGAGAGCCCTTTGCAAATCTTCAGAAGGAAGCTGGAGGGTGAGAAGATGATCATAACTCATAGACCAAGAGGGTTCTTCTGGGCAAAGGTCAGTGGATGTTTTCTAAGAATAAAGAAGACCCATCAAAGGTAAAAGGAGTCTGAGGGAAAGTGGGGTATAGGAGATGTGTACAGGAGTCCATTTTGGGGGGCTGACCAGGTCTGAGAGAGATTTTATACAGCATGAGCAAGGAAATTAACATATAGGGGCCTCCTCCTCTGTGTCAGTCACGTGTTTGGTTTAATCCTACAACTTAGGTATTATAGAGAGTGTAACAGTCCAGATCTAAATCCAGGCCTTTAAGCTTTGGCTAAATAAGTGAGTTAGGCCAGTGTTTCTCATACTTCAAAGTACATATGAATTACCTAAGATAGTGCCAGAATGCAGATGCTGATTCAGCAGATCTAGGGTGGGGCCCAAGATTTCTAAGAAGCACTCAGGTGATGCTGGATGCTATAGGTTCTTACTACATTCCCATGACTGGTTATAAACCCTAGGAATTTCAACAGTTCTGGGGATTTACAACTCCGAGCTCTATTGAAATTTTGAACACTCTGGGATAAGAGATGCTACACAAGGTGGTCTTCAGTGATGTGGAATGCATAGTGCAAGGTAAATTGGCCCAGCTAACTCACTAGGGTTTCTGCAAAGAACTTACTGTGCTGTGGCCACTAGCATTGTTACATTTTCAGAGTAGTCATTTTCTAATTTACCTGTGGGTACTTTAGAGACAGCTAGGACAAGACTTTGAATATGTGTTCAAGTCTGTGACCCTTCTTTAGCTCTGATATTTAGTAATATTGCTCAGAAACAGGAAAATACAAATTTTAAACACCCACACACTTTTATGTTTGAAGACTCCATTATCATTTAAATATTTATTGAAAAGGCAAATAATATTAGCATCAGGCTAAGAATGATAAACTTTCCTTACAGTGTGAGATTTAGCATAGCGTATTCTCACTTTCCACAACTCCTCTGTTCTGTGATAAGATTAAGAAGCTTTATATAAATTGTTATAAATCAATACATAATATTAACACATGTATTTTATCTTCAATTTTATTACTGTATATGGATTTTTATTATGAAAAGTATGAATTATTAGGAAATATACCTGTAATGAATGTAGATGATATTTTTCCTTAATCTATGCAAACTATGTTTCACTAGAGATGCCTATTGGACATCAAAGTGCTGCTTACCACAGAGTAGGTGGAAATTCAGAATTAGTAGGGGGGTTAGAACTATATCCTTGGGTTTAAGGATTTTTCACATATAGTGATAGTTGGAGTTGTGAGATAGAAGAGATAATGGGATCTTAGGGAATGTGGGATCTTGGGGAATGTCTCTTTCATTCTAAAATCTCCTTCTCTATTTCAACTGAGATGCCCCTTATTTTATAAAGCTCCCACCCACAGACAAAACATTAAGCAAGATTATTAAAGATAAAAGGTATTTTAGTGTCATCTAATATAACTGGGGTGACTATAGATTTATTTTTCAAACTGGGGCAATTTTGACAATGAAATGGAGCAGAACTAGTAATTGTGCTAGCAAAACATACATAAATTAGAACTGTCCTGGGAAAACTGAGACACCTTGAATATAATACAGCCTTCAAATGAGGATAAAATTCCACCCAACCACATCCCACACTGTTGGTCCCCTGACCTCTTTGCTTGACTACCTGGGTAGGGGTATTCAGTTCTGCACAAGGGAGCTTATTCCTCTTAGACAGGTTTAGTTGAAAGAATGAATGTTCTGTCAAAGCCCTTCAAAGACTGTTTCATGATACACTCTATGGAAAGTTTTATGATAGGCCAAATTTAATTCTAGGAATTTTAGAGTCAGTAATAAGATTAAGTAAATCCACTTGTTTCTGGGAAATATACATACATTGAGAATGAATCATCACTGCCTTGATTTATTCCATAAATATTTGCTGACTGTGCATTACTTTTTAGAGATTAATCAGGTAAGGTGCAGAGTCTCAAGAAATTTGCCATTTGCAGGGAGACAATAAAATTATATGATAGCACTTATCACATGATATTTTATTTTTACTCACTTGTGCAAGTCTTGTGGGAGTAAAGAAAAGAAAATTTCAATGTTGCCATAACAGGAAAGACTCCTCAAAGAAAGTGGCGGGTGAATAGATGAACAGTATTTGTTTAGACAGAAGATGGAGAAAGCCACCAAACAGAATATATAATATATACAGAGATGATTCAAGCATTTCAAATTAGATGATGCAACAGTTCTCAGAATTCATTCCACCCATTAATTTGCAGGTTATGTGACTTGAAAATTTTTATATTCAAGAGTGAGATTCTTAGATTTCTTAACATCACATTTTTTAGAGTTGATAAAACTGACATGGAAATTCTTAAATTCTTCCATGACAGGATTCTTGGAGGTCTTGGTTCTTGTACTTGTAGTATAAGGGATGTGGATTAGGTGATCTCAAGACTCCTTTCTAACTTCAAAATTCCTTTGGTAGCATGGGTGCAGCCCTGAAAAGATTCTGGGTTGGGAGCCTGAAACCTCTCCTATGTCCAGGCCTCACTATTAATTAGCTATTGAGACTGAGGAAAATCCTTCTCTCTGAGGATTTCCTCTTTTGTAAAATTAGGAACTATACTAGATAATTCTTAAGGTTCTTCCTGGACCTACCATTTTGTAATATCACCTCCTTCCTTTCCTGCAATACGTTCTACATCCTTTGTACGGAACTCATTTCCTTTCTTTCCTGTGTGTTGTCCATGTCTAGACTTGGGAACTGGCTTTGCCTGAGCTTGAGTGTGACCAGTGGCCAATGCATTGCTGGGAGGGAGCTGAGGGCAAAGGGAAACAGAGGGGCTGGGGAGAGTATAGACTGCCATATATCAGTGCCACAATCTGAGTAGGAAGCAGCAAGTGTGTCAGAGCTATGCGGTGAAGCTTGGCATTTTACCATACTTTTAGCCTCATCAACCCTGGAGGAATAATTCCCAGATTCCAAGAATTGACTCATAACTTCCTTCATCTAGTATTTAACAGTGTGTCGTAATTGTTATTCGTAATTACGAAATAATTGTAAACATACTGAGAAGTGTAGAGAACAATTTACAGACACCAGTGTACCTACGCCCCGAATTTAATGGATGTCAACATACATCTGTATATTTATTTCAAATCTTTTTTCTTATAAGAAAATATAATATTACACAAATAACTAAAGCCCCAGCACCGTCCTCCCACCAACATCGTCTCCCTCCCAAGGGATAAACACTATCCTGAGATTGGCTTATATCATTCCAGTGCATATTTTTTTACTTCTGCAGCACGTGCATATTCTTAAAAATATATATGTATAGTGTTACAGTCTGCATTTTAAAATTTCACATACCTGATGTAATTCTCTATGAATCTTTTTGTGACTTGTTTTTTTTTTTTCACCTGACATTTTTTTAGATATTTGTCCATGTCGATACTTGTAAACGCAATTCACTCAACATCACTTTGATATAGCATTCCACTGTATGAATAACCTTCTCTCTTATTTATTCCCTCCCCTATTGAGGCTTGTTTTTATAAAAAATATTCTGGGAATAAGAGTCAAGTTTGATTTAAGAACCCTTTCTCTGTGCTTCTATTGTACCCGAGCGAGGTATGGCCCTTTTGTAGCATTTATCATACTGTTTTCTCATTATTAATTATCTTTCTTCCTGACTAGACTAAAAATCCTTGGAGACAGAAAGCTTCAACTCATTCATGCATGCATTCATCCATTCAACAAGAATTTAATCCAACTATATTCACGGAGCTTGCTGAATAGTTCCAGAATAGAGAGCTGTAATCTAGAGCGAAAGTATTGAGCTGGAGGTGCACGAGCTAGATTCGACACACAAAAGAGTCTTATTTTGTTTATAATTAGGCTAATATTGAAAAATTGAGAAATCACATAAGCATTTGAGGTTCTGACTTCTCTTGAAAAACAGAAGAACTGCAACACCACTTTATATTTGGCATCGTTGCAAACTGGTGGAGCTGTGTAGTGGCCATGCACTTTAGATGGGGCATGCCTTCTTACTTGGCCCACTTCACTTATAGTATCTGTCTGGGCTTCATAGATCTTCAAGTTTGTCATTTTTCACGTGGAAGAAGATGAGGCAGCAGGGCTGACATCAGAGCAGAAGGCTGGGAGATGGAGCCGTCTGAGCAGTAAGGTGCGGTGTTGAAGAGTACTGACGATCTCTATTTAGCATGCAAACAAATTGTGCTTTGTTTAATCTCCTTCAAAAGTTGTGTTTCTGTCAGTTTCTCTCTGTGTTTCACTCAGTGTTTGCATTTTAGGGAGCATTTGATTCATTATCTAATGTTAGTGTTTACTATAACTTCATTATATAGCGTGACAATTTAAAATGGCCTCATTTATCCCACGCAATACTTTTCCCTCAAATTCTACCTTCTTGCATGGTAATAATATCCATTTTTCTTTCTTGTTACTTTACATTTGCATGATGGATCTTTGCTCATCCTTTATTTTCATAACTTTTTAGTGTTATTTCTCTTTATATGTCTCCCATACATAAATATGCTACTTTTTTTGCTTGGAGATATTTATTTTTTGATAAAGAAACATAAACATGTTATATTTATTATTTTTGTGTCTTAATAAGGAAATTCAAGCAAATGACGCTTAATTTAATTTATGTTGCATGCCCTGTCTTGTTTTACACTTTCTGATTTTGGTCTTTGCTCATTTTTTCATCTTGCTCTTCTTGGTTTATTTTGTTTTTATTGGGTGATAACACTCCTATCATGGTTGGTGGTCAGGATACAGAATATTCTGATTCTCTGTGTATTAGAGATTGATTTCAGATTTATAAAATACATAATTAAATGTGGATTTCTTTACCAGAATCAAAGACAAAACTGTATTTGGTCTGTCCATGCCCAAGGAGCAACTTAGCATAAAGATGCCTCCATCCTTCCTACTCCTCAACTCTCCAATCTGTCAGTTTAATCAAGGGTTAAAGACACCACCTATGATTATTATACCA